TAACTTCTACAAAATAGTATCTGTTGAGTTTTCCCCCCAATAACAGAAATGATGTGTGCTAACTGTAGAAAACATAGAAATACATAAAAACATGGAACTCTCTCACCCAGAGTTAGCCACTGTTAACACCTGAAGACTGTGGTCAGCCTGGGGGACATGACGCTGTGCCAGGAGCCCGGAAGCAGTGGGGGAGGTGTCTGGCCTCATGTCCCCTGCTCTCCCCTGTCATGTACAGGCACCATGTCCAAAGACTCGGGATGGACCCCTCAGCCTGCTGTGGGGGTCCAGGAATGCTGGGGGCCCCAGAGGCAGCCGTGAGCAGAGATGAGAACGTGGAGCCTGCCGTGGGCTTGGCTTCCTGGCACTTTGGTGAGAAGTCAATGGGGGGGTGCACAAGGGAGTGACTGAAGCTGGATCTAACAGAACAGGTACCTGACGGAACAGGGACCTGCTTGGAGTCCAAGCTTCCTCTAGAAAAGAAACTTGAACCCTGTCTTCCCCTACCCCGGACTGGCAGCTCACTGCCTTGATACACTCTGCTGGGGGCAGAGGAGGACCTGACCTTGCTGAACAGATGTCAGGACCTTCACCCACCTCTCTACCCACTAAGGGCTTTCCTCTCCTGCAAGCAAAGAAAAAACACCACCAGCCTCCTCCAGGGACTTGGCAGAGCTTGGGCTGTAGCAATATGTTGCTCTGTGCAGGAGCTGAGAACACAGAATGTTCCGGTAAGGTCCCCAGGTCAGATTATAGGTAGCCACAGGAAGAGTTTGCCTTAGTACCAAGGGTAGGCCTAATTCCAGAGAGAAAATAATGAAATTTAGATCTTCTATCTTTCTGAATACCAGCTCTGTGTCAGGGAATCTCCTAGAAGTTTTTACATAAATTATCTCATTTTATTCTCACAACCCTCCAAGAAGGTGGTAGCACCCAATTTCACAGATAAGGCTCAGAGAGGTTTGGAAATCAGGCAGCTCTGTTTCCAACCTAGGCCTGTCTGCATTCAAAGCTCAGGCTGGGTCTTGCCACCCTGCTTCTCCATGGTCGCAGCCTGTCCATCCTCAGCCTTGGCGAGATGGGAGCCCAGGGCCATACGTACCCAAAACCCAGAGGCCTAGGTAGTGTTGGCAGCATATAGCAGACTGCTGACCCCAGCCAGCTGCAGGGCTGGGAGGAGTCAGGCCTTGGAGCCTGGAGCCATGGTGTCCCTCGCCTTGCTGTCCCAGGGTATCAGGAGCCCGGGGACCTCTCCTCCACCCATAGGACCAGCCCCACAGGCTCAGGAGAGCATCTCACAGTGGGACAGCAGGACCTGTACCTTGTCGAGAGCCAGCCGCAGCCTCCCGCTCCCCACTCTGCAGAGGATGCTGCGGGGGGTGGGGGAGTAGGGAGGACAAGGACCCGCGGCAGACATGGATAGGGAAACTCAGGACTGTCGGGATTCTGTTTGGGGGAGAAGGCTCCAGGGCCCCATGCCATGGCAGTAGAAACTTGGCAGGTTCCCCTCGGCCCGCGGGACCTGCTTCATCATGAACATGATACAGGACCACCACAGACTTCAGAACCATCCGGAATCTGGGAGCAACTGGAGGCTGAACTACAGCAGCAGGCTTTCGCACATTCAAAGCAGGCAGAGCACAAATAGGCCTGGTTCCCTCGAGGCCACCAACAGCATGGTCAAAATCGCAACCGACTCCCCACCTACCACTCCCAGGACAAGGTCCTGTAGGCCCCATGGTCCCGTAGCCAGAGCTGGTGGGGGCAGGGAGGCAGCCATCCAGCTTGTGTATATACTGTGGGGCGTAGGAGGGTGTCCAAGGAAGTCTGCATGATCCTGAGAGCCAGAGGTCACCAGGCAAGGCCACCTACCTTTAGGCAGGCAAACATCTGACCACTCAGGGCTATGAATACCCTCTCCCACCTCACCCGGATGAACTTTCCTCCCACTTCGCTCTGGGCTTCCCTCTCACCCCTGCTGAACCCTGCCTCCTCCTCTGCCAAGGGCATGACCCCCAGGCTGGGCTCAGAGACCTCAGGTGGAGGTCACCCAGTACCCAGGGGAGACAGGGAGGGAAGGGGTAGGGAGGCCTCCAGAGATCCCCTTTGCCTACGAACAGGAATGCTGGGTGTTGCTCAGTGGCTGTGAGGATGCTGATGAAAACCCCAGGCTGTTGTGTCATTGTGGTGGCCAGCTGAGAGTGACACTCATCCCACTTTGCGCTGAACACTCATGCAGGGTTAGAAGACCCCAGAACCTTCTCTCAGGTCCATGGACCAAGCAGCCCATGGAATTTCATAACCTGAGCTCTCTCTCCCTCTCTCTCCCCATCTTCTGCTCTCCCCACCCCTCTGCTCTGCCCCATCCCTCCCTCCCCCTCATCCTCCCCCTCTGCCTTCTCCACTGTGTTGGGGTCCCCTGGAGAAGCCTGGCCTCCCTGCCACCCCACCTCTTCCCCCTGGTGTCAGTCTTCCTGGCACCAGTCCTGGGCGTGGAGTTTGTCCTGGGCCTGGCGGGGAACAGCTTGGCCCTCTTCGTCTTCTGCTTCCACACACGGCCCTGGACGTCCAGCATGGTGTTCCTGGTCAGCCTGGTCGTTGCTGACTTTCTTCTGATCATCAGCCTGCCCCTCCACGAGGACTACTACTTCCTCCACGAGACCCGGCACTTTGGGGCCGCTGCCCACAAGGTCAACCTCTTCATGATGTTCACCAACCACACGGCCAGCGCTGCCTTCCCCACAACCATCCTCCTCAACTGCTATGGGACGGTGGTGCAGCGCCCCACATGCTGAGCCACGCCTCGGTGGGGGCAGCCGCCCAGGTGGCCGGGAGGGTCTGGGGGGGCATCCTGCTCCTCAGTGGGCACCTGCTCTGACAGCCTATTCCAGCCAGTCCTGCCTCAGTTACAGTCTGGGCACAGAGCCCTCGCCTCACTCCACTGGCACCAGGCACTGTACACGCTGGAATTCTTCCTGCTGCTGGCACGCACCCGCTTTGCCGTTGTGAGCGTCAGGGTCACCATCCGGTGCTGTGCCTGGGTGGGCAGGCAGAACTGAGGAAGGCCGTGTGCTTGCTGGCCATGATGGTGGCCATCTACACCATCTGCTTCTTGCCCAGCATTGTCTTTGGCACAGCTTCCGCTGTCCGCCTGCCACTCCCTGGACGTCTGCTTGTGGCTCTTCCTCCACTCCCTGGCCTTCACCCACCTCAACAGTGCCCTGGGCCCTGCGCTCTTCTCCTTTTGCAGCCCCAACGTCCTCCCCCAGAGCCTGCGTGCGCGGGGCTGGCAGGGCCCACTGAGTGACGAGGGTGCCTGCCAGCCCTCCCCATGGCGGTGGCACTGCTGGAGGCCTCTAGGAAGGGGGAGGCCACGAGAAGCTGCAGGAGAAAGTCTCACTGGAAAAGGAAGGCCCCTCCCAGGACTGAGGGTCGGCTGCAGGGCAGCAGTGCCACAGGGGTGAGGACTGTCGGGCTCTGGCCCGGAGAGATGAGGGGCGTCGGCGGACCAGGAGCCAGGCTGAGGCAGTGGTTAAGACCCGGGTGGGTGGCAGGGAGAGAAAGCCGCCTGGGCCTTACAGTGCGTCCAGGATGGCGTCCCCAGAGTGTAGGAAAGCACGATGGCAGCGGAGACAGGCAGGGAGCTGTGGGAACACCTGCTCAGACAAAGGCATCGCAGCGGTCCAGTCCCTGGGGCCGGGGCAGAACCCCTGTAAGAGCAGAGTCTTGCTCTGAAAATTGGAAAGCCGCATTTTCTGCACTTTCCAGTTTGTCCCTTTCAATACTAATAAACTTCCTTTTTCAAATGTAGGCCTGTCTCAGCTGTTCTAAGGAAAATCAAATAAATGTCTTTAGGTTCAACCTGGGAATGGGTCAGTAGGAGTCAAAGTGAGTACCCCAAGGTGAAGGGAAATGGGGACGGAGTGAGGGGGCCATCCAGCAGCCTCTTCCCACAGGACACTGTCCTTCCCAGAGCTCCTGGGAAGCCCTGGAGTGTCCTGAAAGGCAGAACTCCTTTCCTGGGTGACAGCCTCAGGCCACAAGGGCTCCAGGTCTTAGGTCCAGGGTTTAATGAGGGGACCTAATCCCCTCTCCCTAATTCCCTTTGGAGAGTTAATCCACTCAGTGAAACCCTCTCATATTATGGACAGGATGCACTCTCTCTGCTAAAAGTGCTCAGGAATGGAAGCAAAAGCCCAGGAGTGTCACCCACAGCCCAGGAGGGTGGCACCAAGGAGCAGTGTGCACGCTGGGTGGAAGACAGAAAGCACCAGGTGGAGGGAGGCAGGCCTGGGGCGACGGGGTGGATGAATACTGGACACATCCCCGCTGGGTGTCTGCAGCCCACTTCCCTTTCCGAAAACTCACCAGCTGCTCTCAGAAACCCACCGAGGTGCTGCTGTGCTGCCTGGGCATCCTCCGCGGTTGCCCTCTCTGCCTCTCTGCTCCCCACGGCCCCTCCCTCCACTCGTGCTGCTGCCTTTTCCACCCTGGTAGAGCCACTCCTAGGGGGTCCCTGCTTCTCCACGCCCTCTGCCACCATGGGGAGGGGAGGGCCAAGCCTGGGCCAGGCCAACCTCAGCCTGAGGCAGACACTCCTGGGGGCTGGGGCCTGAGCGACTCTTTCTCCTGGAGCCCCACCAAGGTGTTAACACTTGCTGCCAGCCCAACACCAGCACCTTTCCTCTAGGACCACCTCTGCCTGAATGTGCCCCCCCGGGTTCAGGGCAGCTCCGTGTGCCCTGTCCTCAACCTCCCCTTCGCTGGGCCCTTCTCGCCTGCCAACTGCTCCGTCAAGCCTTCCCACCCCCCCCAGCAACTGGGCTCACTTCCCCCACCCCGCGCCTGCCCTGGTGCACGACAGGTAACCAGCTACTCCCCGTGGCTCACAGACTTACCTGCACCCCTGTCTTTCCCCACCAAAGGAGGGAGCAGAGGCCACCCTGAGTCCCTGAGTAGATTCTGGTCGCAGGGTTTGGGCCCAGGCTCCTAACCTGCCCTGGATCCTCCTTGCCTCTCATCTGGAAGCGAGGACTGCTCTCTCGTGGGCCAGCTGGGCCACCCCACCCTTCCTCGCCTCGCCTCTCCAGGGCCTGGGTGTTTCCTCATGAAGCAGGGCTGCAGGCTGCCTCCACCCTCCTCCTGCACAGGGGTAGGACTGCCTGGGCCTAACCCTGGCCCCGACCCATGGGATGAGCTTAGTTCTGGACTCAGTTCTCATCTACAGATGGGACCGGAGATCCTGGCCCTTGCCCGACTCCAGGGGCTGAAGGTGGAAAGAACTTTATGCCGGAGCACGGAGTGAGGGGTGAGGAAGGCCGTTATTACGGGGAGGGGGTAGGGAGAAGGAAGGAGAGATGAGGAGAAAGAAAACTGTTTAAGTGCAGGGTTTTCTACAGATGGGAAAGTAGTGCCCATGGTAGTATAACGTGAGCTGGCGGCAGGCCAAGTAGAGACCCCATTTCCTACATTTGGGTTCCAAACGCATTTGGGTCCCTGGGGTGGGCTGTACTGTTCAGTGTGAATTTTCTTTTTTCTCTTCTTTTGTCTAATATAACTGCTTCCACCCTGAGGGTAGATCAAATGGCATGCATTACTTTACTCCAGGGACCTCTGCAGGGGGCTGAGCAGGCACGGCTGGGGCCCAGCCAACAACCATTAACTGCCCAGTGTTTACTGGGCACCCCCCCCAGGCCAGACACTGAGCTACAGAGGCGGACACCACCACTCTCACCTTGAGCCGTTGGAGTCTAAGCCCGGAAGAGACAGACTTGTCTCCATGCAACCCAACCCAGTGCAATGGAAGGTCCTTTAGCGGGGAATGCACCCCGAGAACACAGAGGGTCGGAAGAGCTAACTCTGCCTGCGTTATCGGAAGTGATGCACCCGACCTGGATCTTGGAGGATGAGGACATAGAGGAGGGAAGAGCATGAACAGGGCTCAGAGCTGTGAGATGATTTCGTGTGCATAGGAGCAGGAGGTGACTGAGGCAAGAGAGGAGGACTCCTAGCACAGAGTTAGGGGACAGGGAGGCAAGTGGGGCCAGACCAAGGAGGGCTCCGATGCCAAAACTGGAGCCTGGGTCGATCCCACGGATGACGCAGCATGGCAGGGGAGGAGCGTGTGCATGAGGCTTTTAAGTTGAAGATGATGATCAGCTTTGCATTTTTATCAGTCACTCTGTGACAGTGCGGACAGGCTGGTGAGGGGAGGGAGCGTGGAGATGGCCTAAGTAGGAATCACCTGTATTCCAAGCAAGGGCCCTTCTAAGAAGGGCAGCGGCAGAGAGCACACAGGGTCAGAAAGGAGAGGCACAGCTGAGGGGACAATGATGGTGGCTCTGGGGACACACTGAGGATGCAGTGCTGGGGCAGGTGTGGTGGCAGGACAAGGTGGAGCTAGAGACAGGACTTAGGGTGTCCCACATACCATGGGGAGTCGAGGTTATGGGAAGGGATGAGATCACCTAGGGAGAGACTGAATAGAACCAAGAACCATCCTTTAAAAAACCCCTGTAGGTAAGGGGCATGTGTAGCAAGATCCAGTGAAAAGCTCAGAAAAAAACCTTTAAGTAGGAACAAAACCAGGATTGCAGCAAGAGAAAAAAAAAAAGCATAGAAGAAGTCAAGGCAATCTCTTTGCCCAAGTAAAGAGATTGCCCATTTAAAAGAACAGAATAAAGCCATCTTTTATGAAGGTAAAAGCCAAACATAAAATACTCAGGCAGTCTGCGAAGCGCCTCATGCAAGAATAGAGCGTCATGCAAGAACAGAGCATTTGCAGAAGTGTTTCCTAATCACATGCTGAAGAAAGTTGATCTGAAAACCAAAGTGCTTGTCTGACACTGTCTGGTCAATTAACACCCTGGATGGACACCCTGGATTAACAATGCATTGTCTGGTACTATTTTTTAAAAAAGCTTTTCAAGAAGTGATAGGTTATAATTTGTATGAAACTGAATAATATGCAAAACGTCCTCTCTTGGTTATGCATTCATACATATGCATTAACCATATAAAATAATGCACTGGGATAATAAACACTAAATTAAAGAGAGTGCAAGAAGATGGAAAGTGGTGCACAAGTGACTATTACTATATCTGAAGTTATCTTTGTAAAAAAAATCTGAAATGTAACTGAGGGATATCTGAATGTCACTTAGCACTGCTCTGGGTAGTGAATAAAAGGGGTCAGTGTAATACATGAAGAAAATTAACATGGTGACAACAGCTTCAAATGCTCAAGAAAGCTCACATAGGATGACTAAGCAAAGTGTTGGGGCTGGCAATTAGAAGGTCATTAGTGACTTTATCCACAGCAGTTTCAGCGAGGGGCCGGGAGTGGGGCAGAATGGGAGCCCTAAAGTACTATAATGGGTTGCAGAATTAACGAGAGTTGAAGTAATGGAGACAACGCTTCCTCTTTCAACAAATTTGCCAGTAAAGGGAGAGACAACAATAGCTTCAGGTGAAGCTCAGGAGAGGACAGACATTCTGGTGGTGTGACCATTCTGTTATTTTGTGGACTGGATGGGGAGATTTGAATATAGTGACAGGAGGAGAGGGGAGATGGTGCACGTGAGGGGTGCAGAGTGATGATGCAGCAATAAGAAACACGGTGTGCGCCAGGCCCTGTTCTAAGCAACTCACACATATGAATCTCTCCAGTCCTATGAGGTAGATACTATTATTATTCCATTTAACAGATGAAAAGATTGAGGCACAGAGAGGTAGAGTAATTTGCCCAAGGTCACAGAGCTAGTAAGTGGCAGTCCGGCCTGAGTCAGGGTACTCTACTGCAAGGCCCTAAGGGGTGGAAGGATGGAGCCAGTGCATCGTGGCAGGAAGGTCTGTCCTCAAGAGGTAGAAGGACACCTCCTTAGGCAAGAAGAATGCACTTTCTTGGAGAGGAGGGAAAAAATGCTAAAGGGATATTTAGAATCCTTGGCTCTCAGGTGAGGGTTTAGGGAGTAACAAGGGATTGGAATAGTTGTTTCTGGAAATAAGAAAACAAGCTCCCACAGAAGAACATATAAAGGCCCACTAAGCAAGCAGCTCAGAGGGGCCTGGTGAGTTAAGCACCCACAGCTCCGGGATAGCGAACCCTGCATCCAGGAGCAGGAGCAGAATAAACAGAAGGTAAAACTTACTGGGGGGAAGGGGGCGGGGGAGCAAAAGAAACCTCCTAGGAAATATGACCGTAACATCCCAGTCCTGACATGGAACTTAAGGTTGGTCTTCCCTGAGAAGTAGGGCACCAACACTCTGAGCTATAGAGGCGCTTCCAGAAAGAGGGAGGTGATATTTGAGTCAGCATAAAAAGTCTTAATAAAAAGACACCAAGAACCATGTGGCACCTTAGTGGAGGTGCAGCTGCTGTGATCCACCTTGCGGGGAACCCCCGCTTCCACAAAACCTCCCTGACCACT